TTTGTTGCGGAAATGACAGACGACATGTTACAAATCGGATGCCTGAATGTATCCTTTCCACTTGACAGCTGTAAAAATCATATAAAATCCCCTCCTTTGCCACTTTCCTCCCTTCCAAAGCTCTTTTCCCCTCAAAAAGGGACTCCAGGAAGGGATTGTTGGCCAAGGAAAGCCCTATTATTATTATTATTATTATTATTATTATCCCATCCCCAAACTTGCCAACAATTATCATGGTTATTCTTATAAAAGGGTGAGGGAAGTTTGGAGTATATGATGTTTTCTCGTTTTTTAAAAATATCCTGCTGGTGGCTGGGAAAGAGTAATAAATTATGAGTATCATTAAATGTTAAATTGTTATTGTTATTATTATTATTATTAATCACACCCACCCAAGTGGGACACGGCCTCTTCCCCCTAAGCCTTAACAGTATAGTATTTTTATTTATTTGAATTGGGGGAGAAGCAACTCCAGAGGAACTGGCTGTGATAAGAATAATCATTTATTCTTTATATAACATAAAGTGCAGATCTCCATTGCTTTCCCCCTCAGGCCGCCCTTAATGTATTGAAAACTGTACTGTACCTGAACAATGTATTGTGCAGATGAAGCACTGCTTGAAGCAGTTGTTTTGTAACCAGCTAATTCCTCCAGATCCCAATTCCTCCACTTCTTCTTCTTCTTCTTCTTCTTCTTATTATTATTATGAAATGAACCCTTGTGGTTCCTTCGCAGATTTCTGCCTTGCGGCAGGTTGGACTGGATGACCCTTGGGGTCCCTTCCAGCTAGATGCACCATTATATGATTCTTGGGAAAGGGCTTCAGAAGGAAGAAACAGGGGGGAAAGCACATTTCTTCCCGTTCGTCGTCTGCTGGCTCCTTTCCCACTTGATTCTTTCTTCCACTGCAATCTGGGCTGGACATATTATAGCTCTGCTTTGACATGGACCTCTTTCCCTTCTTGTGAAAATAATTGACATTATTGATATTTCTTAGGTCTGAATTCCTGCTCTGAAAAGGAGGAGGAGGAGGAGGAGGAATAGCAGGAGGAGGAAGAAACTTCGCCTGACGAAGGGAGAAGAGGAGGTGGAGGAAAAGTCAGCTGCAGTCATGAAGGTAAAAGGGAAAAAATAAAAATATACATATAACACTTAAGAACATTTTTAAACAATATATCACACCGACCCCCCTAACCAGCACAGTAAAAATACAGTAAAGTGTTTTTATTTATTTGAATGGGGTAGGGCAGCTCCTCCTGGCTTCCCCCATGTTGGTGAGGTTTGTCTCCTTTTTCCTTTTCTAAAGGTGACAAAGCAATGTGTTGAAAACTTAATTTCTTCCAATGAACCATTGCTTTAACCAGATAATTGATTCTTTCACCTATAGATTTATCCACATAATCCAAGCGGAGATGAATTAGCATCCCAAAGGGGTACACTAGCACACAAATGATAATATTTGAATTCACTGGGCATTCAAATACTTGAGGCAGGGAGCTGGCTGATTTCTCTAATGGAGCATCCAAAACCCACTTTGGATCTAGAAGAGCCCAGCCTTAAGGGCAACCCTCCATTGCTTTCTGTTTTGCCTGGAGGTATAAATGTCGTTAGCAGATGAGCAGTCACCCCAAGAACTTCAGGCAGCAAAAGGGGATGGCAAGGGGGGCTTCATGGCGGAACTGAACTGGCAGCTGCAGGAGAAGGCTGGATCCCTCAGTGGATCCCTAAATCGCCTTCCAAGGGCCATTGAAGAGGGAAGCATCCAGCTGGGCTGGGGACACCAAGGTGGTGAGGTGGCCAATTCCTGCCTGGTGGCAGGTTGGGCTGGATGACCCTTGGGGTCCCTTCCCGATATAGACTCAGAAAGAGAAAGAGCATTTCTTGAAGTGAGTTGTGGTTGTCGGCAGGCAGAGGGGAGCAAGACCCAGCAGGATCGTCTCCTTCCGGCCTTCCTGCCACGAAGACCCACCTGCCTCTGCTCCGACATAAATCAGCGACCCAGGCTTAAAAGCCAGGACATATAAGCCGAGCTAACGGCGCACACAGAGTGGCGTGAGGCTTGTGGAACCATGGATTTATTAATCAAACTATGGATTTATTAATCATAAATCAGGACAAAAAACATGTCATCATACTATTGTTGTGATGATAAAAGGAGGTAAAGCTCATTTGTATGCTTCAGAATCCAAATGAGATAAATTAAAAGTTTGACAGGGGAAATAATTTTAAAGCCAAATTCAAATTCCTGTTTGGAAATACTATTTGATGTCTTTTCCAGTAATGGCCACACGGGGTCACTGTTTATTTTCCTATCCATGTCTTTTGCACTATTGCAACGGGTTGGGCTGGATGACCCTGGGGTCCCTTCCCGCTAGACGCACCATTATATGATTCTTGGGAAAGGGCTTCAGAAGGAAGAAACAGGGGGAAAGCACATTTCTTCCCGTTAGTCGTCTGTGGCTCCTTTTAAAAGCCTCAGACGTATTCTTTTATTCAGCCTCACACGGTTTTCTTTTAAAATCCTCTTAGTCTGCCTCAGACTGTTTTCTTTAAGTTGCCTCACACGGGGCACCACTTGTCGGAGCCAGCCATTACAAATGGCACAGTTTAGCATAAAATAAAGACACAGAGAGCCAGCAATATTTTCAGGATGGTATAAGCAGCTCCTTTCGAACTTCTCTCTCCTCCCGTAGCTTTTTTATTATCCTTTGCCAATGTCTCACATTACCTACATCCGGTCATGGCTTAAACCCACCCATCGCCTTATAGGGTCATGCCCTTAATACACTGCAAGGCACGGACATGCAGGTCACTGAGGTCAGCGAGGCACCAGGTGGCGCTACAAGCCTGAGCCATGACTTCATGGCTCCCACACTTGATTCTTACTTCCACTGCAATCTGGGCTGGACATATTCGATGTCTGCTTGGACGGGGACCCCTCTTTCCCTTCTTGTGAAATAATTGACCTTACTGATATTTCTTAGGTCTGAATTCCTGCTCTGAAAAGGAGGAGGAGGAGGAGGAAGCTTTGCCTGATGAAGGGAGAAGAGGAGGTGGAGGAAAAGTCAGCTGCAGGCATAAAGGTAAAAGGGAAAAAATTGAAATTGAAATTGACATCTAACACTTAAGAACATTTTTAAACAACCCCAGTCCTGATATATCACACCGACCCCCTAACCAGCACAGTACAGTACAGTAAAAATACAGTAAAGTATTGTTATTTATTTGATCGGGGTAGGGCAAAACCTTCTGGCTTCCCCCATGTTGGTGAGGTCTCCTTTTTTCTTTTCTAAGGGTGACTAACAATTTGTTGAAAACTTAATTTCTTCAATTCAAGCAGGTAATTGATTCTTCCACCTATCGATTTATTGCTTTAACCAGGTAATTACTCGAGGCACCGATTTTCATCTATCGATTTATCCACATAATCCAAGCCGAGATGAATTAGCATCCCAAAGTGGTACACTTGCACGTTACATCTTAAGATAAATGTTTTGGAAGAGGCCTAAATTAAAAAAGATAATTAATTTCCAAGCAAATACTTGAATGCCCAGTGAATTAGAGAGGCAGGGAGCTGGCTGGTTTGTCTAATGGAGCATCCCAAAACCCAGTTTGGGTCTAGAAGACTCCAGCCTTAAGGGCAACCCTCCATTGCTTTCTCTTTGATTTTTTGAGCAGATACTCTGAACTGAACACCACAAGAAGAAATGGGGACCAGCCCCTGCTGTAGTGGCCAGCACTAGAAGCCGTTTGAGTAACTCAGATCAATAAAGTAGGAATAATGAATATTTACAAACCAGCAACTTCACCCCAGTTTGGGACACTTGAAGCAGAGAGGTGCTCTAAAGAAAAGCACTTTCGACATTACTGAGCCTTCAGAGTAGGCGCATGGTTTTCCCTTTGCCTGGAGGGAGAAATGTTGTTAGCAGATGTCCCTTCCCGATATATAAAGAAGAAAGAGAAAGAGCCTTCCTTGAAGGCAGGTGTGGTTGTCGGCAGGCAGAGGGGAGCAAGGCCAGTTGACCAGCCCAAGCAGGATCGTCTCCTTCCATCTGTCCCACAGCAAAGACCCATCTGCCTCTGCTCCGAAGTAAATCAGCGACCCAGGGCACATGATATCAGTTTGGGGCATCTAATACTATGAAAATGGGCTTATATATCTTGAGTTTCTGACACTGCTCAACCGCATACTTAATCAAATGCAGATGCCAAACAAATGAACTAAAGCCTGTCTCTTTCTCTAGAAGGCGTCTGATGGGCGTTTGCGCTGCCTCCCTTGGTTCTCTCGGCCTGATGCGTTTTGGGGCTTGGCTGGTCCTGGAGTCTTGCAGTTGCTCTGGCCATTTCTCCGAATCATCTTTCCAACAGCCTGGAGAGATATCCTGTAAGTCCCACTTCCTCTTGCCGTATTACCGGTAGTTGCCACACGAGGGCACTGTTTATTTTCCTATTGAGGTCTATTCCACTATTGGCCACACGGGGTCACTGTTTATTTTCTAGTAGATGTCTTTTCCAGCCTACTAAGTCTAAGACAAATATATTGGGAACAGGGAGAAAGACCCCTGAAATGCAGATAGGGACCCCCAGAGGCATCTAGACTGACCCCTGAAATGCAGAGATGGGACCCCCAGAGGCATCTAGACTGACCCCTGAAATGCAGAGATGGGACCCCCAGAGGCATCTAGTCTGACCCCTGAAATGCAGATAGGGAACCCCAGAGGCATCTAGACTGACCCCTGAAATGCAGAGATGGGACCCCCAGAGGCATCTAGTCTGACCCTTGAAATGCAGATAGGGAACCCCAGAGGCATCTAGTCTGACCCCTGAAATGCAGAGATGGGACTCCAGAGGCATCCAGTCCCCCACGAACCAGGGACTAAGGCGGATCTCTTCCTCTGCCCCAGGATCAGGCTGTTCCCCCATCTCCGTCCCCAACTCCCTGAGCTCTGTTCGTGCACAGACACCCCGACACACCATTTTGGGGGGCAGAAATCCCGTTTTATTTCATGGAAGACAAGAGGAGCGGCTCTGGAAAGAACGCCGTGCTTTTCTCCTTGGTTTCGTATCGTCCGCCTTCGGTGCCCAGTCCGAAAGGGATCCGAGGGTCATCCAGCCCGACCCGCCAGCAAGGCGGAGAAAGGGGCCAGTCTGATGGCACACCGACGGGCAGCTCCAACATCCGGACCTGGTCCTGCGAATGCAAAGCGGGTAGTTCAGGGCCAGGCTGCCTCTGGGGCTGGGAGTGGGACGGGGAGTCCCGGGTGCGAGGGCCTCCCCTCTCGAAAGGCAACCTTGCCGAAGCCCTCGAACTGGGGCGCCTCTGTTCGTATGCGCCTGTGTGTCTCTCGAACCCCAGATCCCCCAAGCATTGGACCTCCCCTTCACCATCGCTCTCCTGGCGGCCCTCCTCGCACCCGCCTCCGGCCGTGTATGCTACGTTGTCCACCGTGATGGCACCCGTGCCAGACCAATCGCCAGCGCCCACTTCCAGCACCGCCTGCAAGACATGGGTTCAAAGCAGCACCTCCTCCTGCCAGGAAGGAATTTGAATCCGACACCTGCTGAATGTCTCACCCCAGAGGCGTTCCAAAGTGGCAGGGAGTCCCAAAGGGAATTGGGAGTCTCTTTTCGAACTGAAAAGCCCCACGTCTTGATAGGGCATCCAGTGGCAGGCAGTCCCAAAGGTGGACAAACGCCATCCCATTTAAAGGAGTTGAATAGGATTCACAGAAGGAAGTTGAATTATCATAGGAACACCAGTGGCAGGCAGTCCCAAAGGCACCAGACTTTCTGAGATGGCTTACCTGGAACTTGCCACCGCTGTCAAGGAGAAGCCTCTCCTCCCGCCAGACCACGCGCTCCCCCTGCGGGCCGGACAGGAGCACCCGGAGGGAAAGGAAGGCAGAGTCAGGTGGGCAGGGGGTTCAGGTGTCGGAGGCTCCGCTAGAATTCCCTTCCCGCAGCAGGGAGTTCCACCGACCCAAGCCAAACCCAACTCACCGCTTTCTCCCCGGAAAGCCTTGTGGTAGCGGAAGCAGCCGGCGCCTTTAAGGGTCTTGTTGGCGAGGCGGGTGGCGTGGTGCCCGGCGCCCACCTGGATGGAGATGTGGCGCCCTAGAGAGAAATGAAAAGAATAAGGAGAGAAGCCCGGTTTCTCGCACCCAGACCCGGCTCAGAGCAAACCGTTCTTGCGACGCTTCCTTCCAATCCCCTTGGCCCATCTCGCAGGGTCGTAAGCCTCCCACCCCAGACGCATGGGGGTACCGCGTGCGAGACTCACCGTCGGTGCCCGGCCCGGCCCAATCCCAGCTCCATCAATCGCCATGGGGCTTCCTCCAGCCGCAGGAGCCGGATTCCAAATCGCATGAGAAGCCAGAGCTGTCGATCCCCTGGCCTTCTTTTGCACCCAGAACCCTTTGGTCACACGGCACTACAACTCCCAAGACTTAGCTCCAGGTAATCGGGCGCCACAGGACGGCACAGCCCTCTATCGCCACCTGCGCCCGAGAGAGGGGGGTGCGCATGCTGCCCCAAACTCGAACCCGGCACCGTTCCCCCAACCCGACGCCGTGACAATATAAAGAATAGGAAAAGATAATACAAAAATGATAATAAGAAATACTATTTGTTCATTGGTCTGTGAACCGCCCTGTATATAAAAATTTCATTCTTCTCATCTGAAAAGTCTCCGGCGATGCCACCCCTTCGAGGGCATCCCTCCCTCCGCTGAAATCCCCTGCTAGAGCTGAAGCTGCAGGTTCGAGTTCCGCCCTCTTCCGGGGCGAAAACTCCCTTTGGAAATCTAGGCCCGTCTGCCAGCTGACTGAATGGACTTGCAGCGCTTGCCACCTTGGGAACTCCCTGCCACTGGAGACGAAGAAATCCCCTCGCCTCTGGAGATGGGGAAGTCTACTCCTTGGGAACTCCCTGCCACTTGATTCACAGGCCAGCACCTTCTGGCGTCCTGGGCCCTCCCAGCCTCTTGCTCTCCAACCCGCACCATCTGGGGAACTGCCCGCCACTTGCTGATCTGGGAAGAGGCAGGCGTTGGACGGTGTCTGCAGAGTTTGGGGGGCAGAGACCAGCCTCACCGAGGGGAAAGAACCTGTGGGGCAACAGGCTCAGGTCCCGGGTTCGAATTGGAGCCACGGCTCAGCTTGCCCTCGAAATCCACCTGCTTGCCCCCTGAGACTTGCCCTCGAAGCTCCATTGCAGAGAGCAGCTCCCTCCTTTGGAACTCCCCGCCAAGGGATAGTTTGGGGGGCAGAAACGGGATCAAGGATGGATTTTTTACATTTGATTTCCAAAATGAGGTTTTGAGAAATTTCCAAAATGAGGTTTCTTGAGTCATCGAGAAATTCTTGGCAAACTGATAGGAATGGTTTAAGTCATTTGGTCGAGCCAATGTCTATATTTATTATGTATATTTACGTATATATTTATTAAGTGTAACGATTCTTCAAACTGAAGCATCCTCCTCGTCATCATCATCATTATTATTAATAGCACGCATTCCCAGCAAACCCAGACAGGGACTCTCGGCAGCTGAGGGATCCAGGCAGCCCCAACCTGCGGCCTCCAGATGTTTGGGACTACAACTCCCATGATCCCTAGCAAACAGCACCAGCGGTCAGGGATGATGGGAATTGTAGTCCAAAACATCTGGAGGGCTGCAGGTTGGGGGTGCCCGGATAAAATGACAGGATATATAATTATATAATATAATAACAACAACAATAATAATATTATAATATAATATATTATAATATATAATAATAAGGAGAAGCCAGGCCCCTCAGGCACTGTTGGGACTCCTCCAAGAGGGGATTTTTTTGGGGGGTCCCTCCGGCCTTCCTTCTCCGCAGGGACCCCCAGAGGCATCTACTCTGACCCCTGAAATACAGAGATGCAGAAATCTAGTCTAGCCCCTGCTGCCCTCAACAAACATGGCACCGCTGCCGCCTCTTACGCCCTTTCTTCCCCCCTCCTGCCCCTTGCCCTCTTTCCAGTATTGATGTCTATTCCAGTAATGGCCACACGAGGGCACTGTTTATTTTCCTATTGAGTCTATTCCAGTACTGGCCACACGAGGGCACTGTTTATTTTCCTATTGAGGTCTATTCCAGTATTGGCCACACGGGGGCACTGTTTATTTTCCTATTGAGGTCTATTCCAGTAATGACCACACGGGGTCGCTGTTTATTTTCCTATTGAGGTCTATTCCAGTAATGGCCACACGAGGGCACTGTTTATTTTCCTGTCCATGTCTATTCCAGTAATGGCCACACGTGGTCACTGTTTATTTTCCTATTGAGGTCTATTCCAGTAATGGCCACACGAGGGCGCTGTTTATTTTCCTATCCATGTCTATTCCAGTAATGGCCACAGGAGGGCACTGTTTATTTCCTATCTATGTCTATTCCAGTATGGCCACAGGGGGCTGTTTATTTTCCTATCTATGTCTATTCCAGTAATGGCCACAGGAGGGCACTGTTTATTTTCCTATCCATGTCTATTCCAGTAATGGCCACACGAGGGCACTGTTTATTTTCCTATTGAGGTCTATTCCAGTAATGGCCACACGAGGGCACTGTTTATTTTCCTATCCATGTCTATTCCAGTATTGGCCACAGGAGGGCACTGTTTATTTTCCTATCCATGTCTATTCCAGTAATGGCCACAGGAGGGCACTGTTTATTTTCCTATCCATGTCTATTCCAGTATTGGCCACACGAGGGCACTGTTTATTTTCCTATCCATGTCTATTCCAGTAATGGCCACACGAGGGCACTGTTTATTTTCCTATCCATGTCTATTCCAGTAATGGCCACACGGGGTCACTGTTTATTTTCCTATTGAGGTCTATTCCAGTATTGGCCACACGGGGGCACTGTTTATTTTCCTATTGAGTCTATTCCAGTACTGGCCACACGAGGGCACTGTTTATTTTCCTATTGAGGTCTATTCCAGTATTGGCCACACGGGGGCACTGTTTATTTTCCTATTGAGGTCTATTCCAGTAATGACCACACGGGGTCGCTGTTTATTTTCCTATTGAGGTCTATTCCAGTAATGGCCACACGAGGGCACTGTTTATTTTCCTGTCCATGTCTATTCCAGTAATGGCCACACGGGGTCACTGTTTATTTTCCTATTGAGGTCTATTCCAGTAATGGCCACACGAGGGCGCTGTTTATTTTCCTATCCATGTCTATTCCAGTAATGGCCACAGGAGGGCACTGTTTATTTTCCTATCTATGTCTATTCCAGTAATGGCCACAGGAGGGCACTGTTTATTTTCCTATCTATGTCTATTCCAGTAATGGCCACAGGAGGGCACTGTTTATTTTCCTATCCATGTCTATTCCAGTAATGGCCACACGAGGGCACTGTTTATTTTCCTATTGAGGTCTATTCCAGTAATGGCCACACGAGGGCACTGTTTATTTTCCTATCCATGTCTATTCCAGTAATGGCCACACGAGGGCACTGTTTTTATTCCTATCTATGTCTAACCCTATCCAGACCCCTCAGGCACTGTTGGGACACCTCCCAGAAGGGGTTTTTTGGGGGGGTCCCTCCAGCCTTCCTTCTCCGCAGGGACCACAAGAGGTATCTAGTCTGACCCCTGAAATGCAGAGAGGGAACCCCAGAGGCATCTAGTCTGACCCCTGAAATGCAGAAATCTAGTCTAGGCCCTGCTGCCCTCAACCAACATGGCGCCGCTGCTGCCTCTTCCGCCCTTTCTTTCCCCTCCCTCTTTCCAGTCCCCTTGCCCTGGTCCAAAATGGCCGCCCTAGCAACTCCCTCGCTCAATCCAATCTTGGCGATGATAGGTGGGCCTTTGGGCCAATCCCAGGCCGGGCGGTGGGCGGGGCCAGCCATTTCCCGCTTTTTCTTCTCCCAGCTGTTTCTCAGCTGCTTCTCCTCAGCTGTTTCCCACGCCTTTTCGGCGCCTTTTTCATCCTGGGAAACAACAATAAATTATTATTAGCATTACTTTTAAAATCATTATTATTATTATTATTATTAGAAAAGTAGGCAAAGTTTGTCATATAGTATGTTTTGTCGCGTTTTTAATATTCTGTGGGGAGCGGCTGGGAAAGGAGAATAAATGAGGATTATCCTTCATTTTTCAGTTCCTACCTTCCCCCCTAAGCCTTAACACTATAGTATTTTTATTTATTTGAACTGCATCTTGGAAACTGGATCAGAAACAATGTATTTGTTGCAGAAATTACACACTACATGTTACAAATCTGATGCCTGAATGTATCCTTTCCACTTGACATCTCCGGGAAGTGAAAAATAAATATAAAAATAAGATAAAATCTACTCCTTTGCCACTTTCCTCCATTGCAAAGCTCTTTTCCCCTTGAAATGGGACTCCAGGAAGGGATTGTGGGCCAAGGAAAGCCGAATCCCAACCCCAAACTTGCCAGCAATTATCATGCTTATTCTTATAAAAGGGTGAGGGAAGTTTGGAGTATATGACGTTCCATCATTTTTTAAAAATATGCTGTTGGGGGCTGGGGAATAAATTATTATGATTATCATTAAATTTTAAACTATTATTATTATTCACACACACCCAAGTGAGACATGGCCTCTTCCCCGCTAAGCCTTAACAGTATAGTATTTTAATGATTTCAATTGGGGGGAGAAGCAACTCCAGAGGAACTGGCTGTGAAAATAATAATCATTTATTCTTTATAGAAAATAAAGTGCAGATCTCCATTGCTTTCCCCCTCAGGCCGCCCTTAATGTCTTGGAAACTGTACCTGAACAGTGTATTGTGCAGATGAAGCACTGCTTGAAGCAGTGGTTTTGAAACCAGCTAATTCCTCAAGATCCCAATTCCTCCACTTTTTATTAAATGCAGTTTCCTTGTGGTTCCTTCGCAGATTCCTGCCTTGCGGCGGGTTGGACTGGATGACCCTTGGGGTCCCTTCCAGCTAGATGCACCATTAAATGATTCTTGGGAAAGGGGTTCAGAAAGAAGAAACGGGGGGAAAGCACATTTCTTCCAGTTCGTCGTCTGCTGGCTCCTTTCCCACTTGATTCTTCTTCCACTGCAATCTGGGCTGGAAATATTATAGATCTGCTTGGACGTGGACCCCTCTTTCCCTTCTTGGGAAAATAATCGACATTATTGATATTTCTTAGGTCTGAATTCCTGCTCTGAAAAGGAGGAAGAGGAGGAGGAAGAAACTCCGCCTGATGAAGGGAGAAGAGGAGGTAGAGGAAAACTCAGCTGCAGCCATGAAGGTAAAAGGGGAAAAAATAGAAATATACACATAACACTTAAGAACATTTTTAAACAACCCCACTCCTAATATATCACACCGACCCCCCTAACCAGCACAGTACAGTTAAAATACAGTAAAGTGTTTTTATTTATTTGAATGGGGTAGGGCAGCTCCTCCTGGCTTCCCCCATGTTGGTGAGGTTTGTCTCCTTTTTCCTTTTCTAAAGGTGACAAAGCAATGTGTTGAAAACTTAATTTCTTCCAATGAACCATTGCTTTAACCAGATAATTGATTCTTTCACCTATAGATTTATCCACATAATCCAAGCCGAGATGAATTAGCATCCCAAAGGGGTACACTTGCACGTTACATCTTAAGATAAATGTTTTGGAAGAGGCCTAAATTAAAAAGGAGAATTAATTTCCAAGCAAATCCTTGAATGCCCAGTGAATTAGAGAGGCAGGGAGCTGGCTGGTTTGTCTAATGGAGCATCCCAAAACCCAGTTTGGGTCTAGAAGACTCCAGCCTTAAGGGCAACCCTCCATTGCTTTCTCTTTGATTTTTTGAGCAGATACTCTGAATTGAACACCACAAGAAGAAATGGGGACCAGCCCCTGCTGTAGTGGCCAGCACTAGAAGCCATTTGAGTAATTCAGATCAATAAAGTAGGAATAATTAATATTTACAAATCAGTTTGGGACACTTGCGGCAGAGAGGTGCTCTAAAGAAAAGCACTTTCGACATTTCTGAGCCTTCAGAATAGGCTCCTGGTTGTCCTTTGCCTGGAGGGAGAAATGTTGTCAGCAGATGTGCAGTCGCCCTGAGAACCTCAGGCACCCAAAGGGGATGGCAAGGGGGGCTTCATGGCGGGACTGAACTGGCAGCTGCAGGAGAAGGGTGGATCCCTCAGTGGATCCCTAAAGAGCCTTCCAAGGGCCATTGAAGAGGGCAGCGTCCAGCTGGGCTGGGGACACAAAGGGGGTGAGGTGGCCAATTCCTGCCTGGTAGCAGGTTGGGCTGGATGACCCTTGGGGTCCCTTCCCGATATATAAAGAAGAAAGGGAAAGAGCCTTCCTTGAAGGGAGGTGTGGTTGTCGGCAGGCAAAGGGGTGCAAGTCGCAGCAGGATTGTCTCCTTCCAACCGTCCCGCTGCGAAGACCCATCTGCCTCTGCTCCGACGTAAATCAGTGACCCAGGGCACACGATATGAGTATGGGGCATCTAAAACTATGAAAATGGGCTTATATATCTTGAGTTTCTGACTGCTCAGCTGCATACTCAATCAAATGTGGATGCCAAACAACTGAACTTTGTGGTTAACCCTGAAGCCTGTCTCTTTCTCTAGAACGCGCCTGATGGGCATTTGCGCTGCCTCCCTTGGTTCTCTCGGCCTGATGCGTTTTGGGGCTTGGCTGGTCATGGAGTATTGCAGTTGCTCTGGCCCTTTCTCCGGATCATCTTTCCAACAGCCTGGAGAGATCTCCTGTAAGTCCCACTTCCTCTTGCATCGTGATGTCCTCGTTTGTGGTTTACATCCATCGGGGGGACCAACCTGTGGCCCAGATCAGGCCCTCATGCCATGAGAAGCGGCTCACCAGCCCCATGATTTCTGATCACTACTTGTCTGCTCAAAACCAGAATTGGTGTTCATGTGAAGAATCCTAAAACTACACATAATGTGAAATGTTGAGAAATTCGACTCAGCCAGGAAGCTTTGGGCCAGGTCATCAGCATAGCCAGGGTCTTTGTTGGAGGGCAGGACTTTGGAAAGGGGGACAGAGCCAATGGAATTGGTCAGGCAGTTAAGTATTTCTATTGAAGAAGAAGAGTTTGGATTTGATATCCTGCTTTATCACTACCCTAAGGAGTCTCAAAGCGGCTCAAAATCTCCCTTCCTCCCCCACAACGAACACTCTGTGAGGTGAGTGGGGCTGAGAGACTTCAGAGAAGTGTGACTGGCCCAAGGTCTCCCAGCAGCTGCATGTGGAGGAGCGGGGAATCGAACCCGGTTCACCAGATTACAAATCCACCCCTCTTAACCACTACACCACACTGGCTCTCTATTGCTTTACTTGATCCACGAGCCATGTACTAATTCTTGGTCCAATGTACATTATACTATTGTTGTGATGATAAAAGGAGGTAAAGCTCATTTGTATGCTTCAGAATCCAAATGAGAGAAATTAAAAGTTTGAAAGGGGAAATAATTTTAGAACCATATTCAAATTCCTGCTTGGAAATAACTTATTATCATGAATTCTATACCAGCACTGGCCACACGAGGGCACTGTTTATTTTTCTCTCAATGTCTTTTCCAGTAATGGCCACACGGGGTCACTGTTTACTTTCCTATTGATGTCTTTTCCAGTATTGCTGGAAAACACACAAATGGCTGGGACTCTTTGGATCTTATGGATAGAAATCATGCAGGAGCCTTCATCTGAAGGCAGCCCTGTTTAGGGAAGCTTTTAATGTTTAATTGGTTAGTGTTTTGTTGGAAGCCGCCCAGAGTGGCTGGGAAACCCAGCCAGATGGGCGGGATATAAATAATAGCTTATTATTATTATTCATCATGGGGTTAGTACCTTCTGCAACTTTTTTCTGAGATGTACCTGTGAACAAAATATAGGATCCTGATAGCAGTCTCCTTTGTTGCATTGCCTCCATGTTCTTGTGTCGTTGCTTTAGGCGGCCTGCTTATATGAGCTGAAATTGTCCTTATATACTGCAAAAGACATGTTTTGACCAAATACTTACTTACTTCTTGCTGCTGCTAGTGGCCTAAATTCATACCTGCTTTTTGTTTCCTTGCAAAGATCACCGAAAAGCAGCTTTTGGTTATGATGCCTACAGAACAAGGACATCATCCAGAACTGTCTACTCAGCAGGTAAGCCATCGTTCTCTCTTTCTCTTAGGGAATCTCCTGGGTGCTGGCCAGGGTGTGATCCATGGCCTGACTGTGTGAAATACGAGCACCCAGTGAGTGGAGCCCCAAACTCTCCTTGGAGGCACAAACTCCGTTTGCAGGAGGTGGGAGCAAATGCATTGGTGGGGAGGATCTGCTTGGAAAGGAAGCTCCAGCTCCCGAAGATCAAGAGAACCCTTGAACAGGAATGAATCTCACTTCCTAAGACTCCAGGCCATTGAAGGGAAATACACAGTTCAAACAGATAAAATATTCCTGATAAAATTCCATTCCTCAGCAGTTGGAACTGAGTGGTTAGAGGTAGATTTGGGGCTGAACTAAAAGTTGTGAAATTCATTTTTCTGATTCCATTTTGAAAGGAAATGCTCTCTTTGAGGCTACGACCTTGAAGGGAGAACTCGTTTGTGGTGGGAGAGAAGGTTGCTTAAAGCAGCAGAGAGTAGCCATTGAAACAGACTCCCCCCCCATCAGCATTGTTCGAATGATCTCTAGTGCAAATGGAAGGTTACATAAATTTTAAGATACCTTCTGTATATCTGAGGCAGGTGGGTTTGTGTGCCTGTGGCCTTTGTTTCAGGGAGTAGGTCTCTGTGTGTGTTTGTGTGTTTTGTTATTGTTCTGTTATGGTTTTTTCAGAACAGGTGCCTCGGAGGCTAGTAGTTGGTCAAGGTAGATAAAAAGAACAGACAAAAGCTGTATTTTCTTCTGTATTTTCTTCCCAGATCGGCTGTTCTGCATCTGGCACAACTGGACTGCCCAAGGCTGCCATTGTGGCGCAGAGCAGGTGAGGAGCGTCAACGTGACTGGCCTGGCAACTCAGTCTAGTTTTTAATTTGTGATGATTTTTTTTATATATATGTACACAAATATCCAAGAAGCACTACTGCCAGACACTTCTCTTGACAGCTGTCTTCTTTTTTATATATATAATGACCTTTATTATTTATTTAGTTTTAGTTACATACATTACATACTGACACATACACATAATATATTACACTTTACATTTACACTTGCTCTTGAGAGCTGACTTCCCTCCTTCCTTCTTCCAGCTTCTTTATTTCCCCTCATTTCTTTCTGAACTTTTTTTTATTGTTCCTCTACTGTTTGCATTTCTACTTAACGTTCCTTCATTTGTCCTGATAAGTCTGTTGCAACTTCCACTATCTTTTCCTCAATGTTTTTTCCACTTTCCTTTACCTCTCCTTATTTCTCTTATCTCTGCCAATATTTTTGCAAAATCTCCCTCGCCTTCTATCTCAACTTTGGCTGCCCTTCTCTGCCCTGATGTTGTTGTTTTTGCTGTCTTACGTTTCTTTAATTAATAGTTTGTTTCAAGGTGCAATTTCTCAAACCACCACTGCAGGGCGATTGCCAAAAAACGTATTTTTCCTGCTGTTCTCTCTTTCGCCACTGAGTGTCTCTATTTCTCTCACTTTCTCTTTTACCATACCCAAGGATTATCTTTAATTTCCTTTCCTTAAGAACAGCCTCTTATAGTCCAAACAAGCATATACAGATACACATTCAAATACAAATACAAATCTCCACACACACCCTGTTCAGCTCCTGATCGAAGCCTTTATTCTGCACAGCGTCTGTAATGAAGAAAGTCTAATAAGGGGGATAATATAAAACTTCTAATTCCCCCTGCTTTTCGCAGAGGGAGCGTGGAAAAGGTCCCAAACCGATCAGTTCTGATACTTTGTAGATATTGAGATGTAAAGTAGAAGGCAAACAGTATCTCTGACTTCTCTACAGTCCAAAGCTCTTATTAATGTCTTTGGGATGTTTCCAATAACCGGGTTGTTACAATAAGTCTTTGGGCTTAATAATGTTTCCAAGCTAATGTTTCCAAAAACGCCTTAATAGTACAGTATATACGAAACGCCAAGTTAGAATCATAGAATCATAGAGTTGGAAGAGACCACAAGGGCCATCGAGTCCAACCCCCTGCCAAGCAGGAAACACCATCAGAGCACTCCTGACATATGGTTGTCAAGCCTCTGCTTAAAGACCTCCAAAGAAGGAGACTCCACCACACTCCTTGGCAGCAAATTCCACTGTCGAACAGCTCTTACTGTCAAGAAGCTCTTCCTAATGTTTAGGTGGAATCTTCTTTCTTGTAGTTTGGATCCATTGCTCCGTGTCCGCTTCTCTGGAGCAGCAGAAAACAACCTTTCTCCCTCCTCTATGTGACATCCTTTTATATATTTGAACATGGCTCAGATGATACAACCTTGATGGCAGAAAGTGAGGAGGAATTGTCAGGCCCACAGATCACTGCTTCTGTTCCCCTCAGTAGGGAATCCCCTATCACCACTACACGCCTCCTCTTAGGTTTGGTCGGGGTTCTTCCATGAGCTGTCCGTTCCAAGGTCGCCTGCACATTCCCTGAGGACTGACTTTGCTGCTCGTCTTCATATACCTGATCAACTGTAATGAGGGAGAGATCCTCAAATGGAGTCTGCTCTTCGTCTTCCATGCTAGGGGAGAGAACCTCAAAGCGATTGTGTATTTCTAAACAATCAGAGCGAACCCTGGGCCTCCTACTTCTTTGAGTCACGTTTCTCCATATATCTGGCTCCTGTGTTGGTGAACTAGCCTCCTCCTCAGGGGAGTCCCCTGTCTTCTCCTTGGTGGAGACGGTGTGCTCTGTTGACGGTGTGCTCAAGAAGAGCTCCAGCTCTCTAATTCTTTGGAGCGTAGCTACACGTTCCTCCAGTTGCTGGACTTTGTCTTCTAAGAGGGCAACCAACATGCAATTGCTGCAGGTAAAGCTGCCTGCAACCTGTGGCAAGATGGCAAACATTGCGCAGGAACCGCAGGCGAATGCAGCTGTTCCCTCCCCCTCCATCTTGAGAACGTGTCGTTGGGGGTGGCTACAGCGGTCCTCCATCATAAAAGCGTGAAGACAGGACAAATAACTCCCCCCCCAAAAAAACCCCTAGGTCTCCCCCAACAAACGTTTGAGACTAGCTCCCCTAAATCTAAAAGATGGATCAAACTGCCCTGCAAACTCCTCCCAAAAGGGCTGAGTTTCACGGGAATTCAAAACATTGTCTATATCTCACATTGAAGTTGGTCTTGTCTCTCTTGCCCCTCGGGGAGCTGAGACCTTTTTTCTCCTTTGTTACTCAGTAGGCTTTTTAAAATGCTGACTCCCTCTTAATGATTTTCCCCTGCGCCATTTTCTCCACCAGCATCGGGTAGGATTTCCTGAATTTCCAAACTGTTCCAACTTTCCCCCGGACCTGCTTGTTCTTTGACTGCTTTCGCCCTTGACCTTTTTGTTTTTGGAGTCTGGGGTTTTATCGTAAGCCTTGGAATACTTTCCTGCTACGACTTTGGAGCCTGGGGCATCGCTTTGCAGGTCTAGAATGGATCCTAGCATTCGCGTCTTCAGTCCTGCCTCCTTTCTGAACCCTGGCCTGGTGGAAATGAATTCCATAATAATATAAAACACTGAGAGTGTTATCTATGGAAACAGGGCTACCTGAGAGAATTTGATTTCTCCTCTTGCAGTGTGTGTGTGTGTGTGTGTGTGTGCGCGCGCACACACACAGACAAATGACTGGGACTCTTTAGGATCTTATGGATCGAAATCACGCAGGAGCCTTCATCTGAAGGCAGCCCTGTTTAGGGAAGCGTTTAATGTTGAATAGGTTATTGTATTTTAGTGTTTTGTTGGAAGCCACCCAGAGTGGCTGGGGAAACCCAGCCAGGTGGGCGGGGTATAAATAATAAATTATTATTACTATTATTATTATTAATATTATTATTAATCATGGGGTTAGTACCTTCTGCAACTTTTTTCTGAGGTATACCTATGAACAAGAAATAGGATGCTGAGAACAGTCTCCTTTGTTACATTGCCTGCATGTTCTTGTGTTGTTGCTTTAGAAGGCCTGCTTATGTGAGCTGAAATTGTCCTTATACGCTGCAAAATCCATGTTTTGACCAAATACTTACTTTCTTCTTGCTGCTGCTAGATAGTATTAAGTGGCCTAAATTCAGACCTGCTTTTTGTTGCCTTGCAGATTGCACCGAATTGCAGCTTTTGGTTATGACCCCCAAGGACATAATCTAGAACTGTCTCCCGCTGTATCCCTCAGCAGGTAGGCCATCGTTCTCTCTTTCTCTTAGGGAATATCATGGGTGCTGGCCAGGGTGTGATCCGTGGCCTGACTGTAGTGATGAGGAAGAAATGTTCTGCCAGTCGCTTCTGGCATGACTGTGAAATACGAGCGCACAGTGAGTAGAGCCCCAAACTCTGTTTGTAGGAGGTGGGAGCCACTCACCCACCATCATATGATTCTTTGGAAAGTGCTTCAGTATACAGTTTGGGGGTGGTTGTGTGTGTCAGCCCTTAAAAATCAACTGTGCAATGTGCTCCACAGCAGGGGCGAAGCAAAGATTTAAGACTGTCTCCCGCTATGCATATAGGCTGGGAGCCCCAATGGCACGGGACTAAGTGGGCTGAGCCCCTGCAAGAGGGGCCAAAACCAAAAGCCAGTTGAATCATTTACATTGACAAACACTGGCACATATGAATGCGTTTTGGAAATTTGCAGCAGTTTGTAATGTTAAGAGAGGTGTTCTAAAGAAAAGCACTTTATACCCTTATGAGCGTTCCCTTAGAGCTGGTTCATTGTTTTTTTCTTTTTTTGGAGGTATAAATGTTCTTAGTAGGTGTACAGTCACCCTGAAGGCTTCAGGCCTCCTCCTGACTGTTGAAATGCTCCTGGGGAGACTGTAAGCAGCACCTCCTCCACCCCAGTCGGCAAAGGGGATGGCAAGGGGTGCTTCATGGCGCAACTTGAAGCTGCAGTTTAAATTGCCTTGAAAGTGCCATTTAATCCGGCAACACTGACAGCACAACCAAGGTTAGTGGTTCTCCTGCATATTCCTGCCTTGCCGTGGGCTGGACTGGATGACCCTTGAAGTCCCTTCCAGATATAGATATATATGGAGCATCATATGATTCTTTGGAATGTGCTTCAGAAAGAAGAAGCAGAAATAGCATTCCTTTAAGTTACGGGATGCAGGTGGCACTGTGGGTTAAACCAGAGAGCTTAGGACTTGCCAATCAGAAGGTCGGCAGTTCGAATCCCCACAACGGGGTGAGCTCCCATTGCTTGGTCCCTGCTCCTGCCAACCTAGCAGTTCGTAAGCCTTGGAATACTTTCCAAGTGCAAGTAGATAAATAGGTACCGCTCCGGCAGGAAGGTAAATGGCGTTTCCGTGCGCTGCTCTGGTTCGCCAGAAGCGGCTTAGATCTTCTGGCCACATGACCTGGAAGCTGAACGCCGGCTCCCTCGGCCAATAAAGCGAGATGAGCGCCGCAACCCCAGAGTCGGCCACTACTGGACCTAATGGTCAGGGGTCCCTTTGTTATGTAATGGTCAGGGGTCATTGTTAGGGTTGGGGTTAGGGAGAGGTTTGGGGGTAGGCTTAGGGGTCAGGGTCTCAGCCTCCCCTGACTGTTGAAATGTTCCCAGGGAGGATGTAAGCAGCACTTCCTCTGTTTCCAGTCCAGAGTAGTGGATGGCCATGTTGGCTTCATGGCTGAATTTGCACCTGCAGGAGAGGTGGGGATCCCTGACGTATACCTAAGTAGCCTTCAAAGTGCTATTTAAGAGGGCAAGATTTGCTGCACAACAAAGGTTGCGGGATTGTTCCCCGTAAGGGACTCCTGCATGTTCCTGCAATGCAGCGGGTTGGACTGGATGACCCTTAGGGGCCCTTCCAGAGATTTATATACAGGTGAAACTCAGAAAATTAGAATATCATGGAAAAGTTTGTTTATTTCAGTAATTCAACTTAAAAGATGAAACTAATATATGAGATAGACTCATGACATGCAAAGAGAGGTATGTCAAGCCTTTATTTGTTATAATTGTGATATTATGGCATACAGCTGATCATATGATTCTTTGGAATGTGCTCCACAAAGAAGAAACAGAAATAGCAGTCCTACAAAAAAACAGCCTCCGGGATGGCGCGGGACCCGAGTGCGAGACCAGCTTGTGATTTCCCCCCCCCTTTTCTCACTTTCCGGATCCTAATCATCATCATCATCATTTATTACTTCCATCCTACCCATCTGGCTGGGTTTCCCCAGCCACTCTGAGCGGCTTCCAGCAAAATATTAAAACACAATATTCAATAAGAAATGTTGTTGTTGTTGTTGTGTCCACCTCTTTGTGACCCCCTGGACCAGAGCACAACAGGCCCCCCTGTCTCCCACTGCCTCCCAGTTTGGTCAAACTCATGCTGGTCTCTTCCAGAACACTGTCCCACCATCTTGTCCTCTGTCGTCCCCTTCTCCTTGTGCCCTCCATCTTTCCCAACATCAGGGTCTTTTCCAGGAGTCTTCTCTTCTCATGAGGTGGCCAAAGTCTTGGAGCCTCGGCTTCAGGATCTGTCCTTTTTAGAGGCCATCAGTGGGGCTAGAGAGGGTGGGGTGGGGGACACATTTCATTCTATTATATTTTCTATTCTATTCTATTCTCTACTATGCTCTTCCAGTCTAGTCTATTCTAGTCTATTCTCTTTTCTTTTCTTTTCTTTTCTTCTTCTCTTCTCTTCTCTTCTAGAATATGCTATTCTATTCTTCTCTTCTCTAGAATATTCTCTTCTATTCTAGAATATGCCATTCCATTCCATTCCATTTTAGAGTATTCTCTTCTAGAGCACTCTGGAACATCCTTTTCTAGACTACTCTAGAAAAGGTGCCTCTGGGAAGGAAGGCTCTAGAAAAGGTCCTCTGGGACAGAAACTGCTCTAGAAAAGATGCCCGAAGGCTCTAGAAAAGGTGCCTCTGGGAACGAGAAGGCTCTAGAAAAGGTGCCCCTGGGAACGAGACTGCTCTAGAAAAGATGCCCATGTTCTAGAGCACTCTAGAACGTTCTAGAGCACTGGAACACAGCGACATTCCAAAAAAATTCTGGGAACGAGAAGGCTCTAGAAAAGGTGCCTCTGGGAAAGAGAAGGCTCTAGAAAAGGTGCCCATGTTCTAGAGCACTCTAGAACGTTCTAGAGCACTGGAACACAGCGACATTCCAAAAAAATTCTGGGAACGAGAAGGCTCTAGAAAAGGTGCCTCTGGGAAAGAGAAGGCTCTAGAAAAGGTGCCTCTGGGAAAGAGACTGCTCTAGAAAAGGTGCCTCTGGGAAAGAGAAGGCTCTAGAAAAGATGCTCATGTTCTAGAGCACTCTAGAACGTTCTAGAGCACTGGAATACAGCGACATTCCAAAAAAAATTTCTGGGAACGAGAAGGCTCTAGAAAAGGTGCCTCTGGGAAAGAGAAGGCTCTAGAAAAGATGCTCATGTTCTAGAGCACTCTAGAACGTTCTAGAGCACTGGAACACAGCGACATTCCAAAAAAAATTCTGGGAACGAGAAGGCTCTAGAAAAGGTGCCTCTGGGAAAGAGAAGGCTCTAGAAAAGATGCTCATGTTCTAGAGCACTCTGGAACGTTCTAGAGCACTGGAACACAGCGACATTCCAAAAAAAATTCTGGGAAAGAGACTGCTCTAGAAAAAGTGCCTCTGGGAAAGAGAAGGCTCTAGAAAAGATGCTCATGTTCTAGAGCACTCTGGAACGTTCTAGAGCACTGGAACACAGCGACAATCCAAAAAAAAATCTGGGAACGAGAAGGCTCTAGAAAAGGTGCCTCTGGGAAAGAGAAGGCTCTAGAACAGATGCTCATGTTCTAGAGCACTCTAGAACGTTCTAGAGCACTGGAACACAGCGACATTCAAAAAAATTTCTGGTAACGAGAAGGCTCTAGAAAAGGTGCCTCTGGGAAGAGAAGGCTCTAGATAAGATGCCCATGTTCTAGAGCACTCTAGAACGTTCTAGAGCACTGGAACACAGCGGCATTCCAAAAAAATTTCTGGGAACGAGAAGGCTCTAGAAAAGGTGCCTCTGGGAAAGAGAAGGCTCCAGAAAAGATGCACATGTTCTAGAGCACTCTAGAACGTTCTAGAGCACTGGAACACAGCGACATTCCAAAAAATTCTGGGAACGAGAAGGCTCTAGAAAAGGTTCCTCTGGGAAAGAGAAGGCTCTAGAAAAGGTGCCTCTGGGAAAGAGACTGCTCTAGAAAAGGTGCCTCTGGGAAAGAGAAGGCTCTAGAAAAGATGCTCATGTTCTAGAGCACTCTGGAACGTTCTAGAGCACTGGAACACAGCGACATTCCAAAAAAAATTCTGGGAAAGAGACTGCTCTAGAAAAAGTGCCTCTGGGAAAGAGAAGGCTCTAGAAAAGGTGCCTCTGGGAAAGAGAAGGCTCTAGAAAAGATGCCCATGTTCTAGAG